TCTATATGCCAGACACTATTCTAAGAGATTGTAGTTATTGAATGGAGAGTTGCTAAAGCAAATGGAAGAAATGATGAAGTAAAGATCTGAACCAAAGATTACAAGTGGTGGCTTGAGAAGACAAAGTAAAGTATTATAATGAAATGTGCAAAAACCTGGAGTTAGAAAATTAAAAGGGAAGAACATATTTGGCATCTCTCAAGCTGAAACTCCTCAGAAGGAAGATGGGGCAATCTACTTCCGTAGTGATACTGCCTCGGAAACCCAAGGAGGGGTCGCTATGAGTCGGGTCTGACTCATCGGCACATAACAACAACAACAACAGGCCGAAAGAACTGAAGAAAAAATTCAAGGCTTGAGTTGTGATATAAAGTATTCTATGAGCAAAATATTGAACGATGTAGGAACCATCAAAAGAAGATGGAAGGAATATAGAGTCACTATTGGGATGAATTTGTCAACATTCAACATTCAACCATTTCAGGAGGTGGCATATGATCAAGAATCAGTGGTATTGAAGGAAGAAGTACCAGCTGCACAGAAGGAATTGGAAAAAAAAAAAAAATCGGCTTCAGGAATTGATGGAATATCCATTGAGATGTTTCAACAAGTGGATGCAGTGCTGGACATGTTCACTCCTTATGCCAAGAGTTTGGAAGGCAGCTGCTTGGCCAACAGACTTCAAGGAACCCATATTTGTGCCCATTCCAAGGAAAGATGATCCAACAGAATTCTGAAATTACTGGACAATATCATTTATATCACATGCAAGTAAAATTTTGCTTAAAATAATTTTTAAAATTATGGCAGCAGTACATGAACAGGGAATTACCAGAAATTCAAGTTGGATTCAGAAGAGTATGTGTAATGAGGGATATCATTGCTGATGTTACATGGATCTTAGTGGAAGCAACAAATACCAGAAAGACACTTACCTGTGTTTTACTGACTATGCAAAGGCATTCAACTGTATGGATTATAAAAAAAACTATGAAAAACATTGTGAAGAATAGAAATTCTAGAACACTTAATTGTGTTCAAGGGGAACCTGTACACAGATCAAGAGGCTGGTATTCAAGCAGAACAAGAGGATAATGCATGGTTTAAAATCAGGAAATGTGTGCATCAGGGCTGTGTCTTTTCACCATACTTATTCAATTTGTATGCTGAGCAAATAATTTGAGAACTTGAACTACATGAAGAAGATGGCAGCATCAGGATTGGAGGTAGACTCATTAACAACCTGTCTCATGCAAATGACACAACATTGCTTGCAGAAAGTGAAGAAGACTTGAAGCACTTATTGATGAAGATCAAAGATTACAGCCTTCAGTGTGGATTATACTTCAACATGAAACAAAAATCCTTACAATTGGACCAATAAGCAACATCATGATAAATAAAGAAAAGACTGGAATTGTCAAAAATTTCATTTTACTTGGATCAACAGTCAACACCCATGGAAACAACACTCAAGAAATCAAATGATATATTGAATTGGGAAAATCTGCTGCAAGAAAACTTCTTTGAAGTGTTAAAGAGCAAAGATGCCAAGTTGAAGACTAAGTATGACCCTCACCCAAGCCATGGTCTCTTCAATAGCCTCATTTGCTTGTGAAAGTTGGACAATGAATAAGTAAGATTCAGAAGAATTGACGCATTTGAATTTTTTGTTGGTGAAGAATATTGAATGTACCAATTGCAAGAAGAACAAACAAATCTGTCTTGGAGGAAGTACAGCTGGAGTATTCCTTAGATGGACAGCAAGACTTTGCCTGTCATACTTTTCACATGCTGTTTGGAGGGGTAGTCCCTGGAGAAGAACTTCATGCTTGGTAAAGTAAATAGTCAGCAAAAGAGAGGAAGACCATCAATGAGATGGATTGACACAGTGGCTGCAACAATGGACTCAAGCACAGCAATGATTATGAGGATGGGGTAGGACCCAGCATTGTTTTGCTCTGTTGTACATGAGGTTGCTATGAGTCAAAACAACAATAACAATATGATATACTTCTCAAAACCCCTCAAGGAGGCAGGTGCAATTATTACTACCAAACCAGCACAGAAAAGTAAGCAAACTTGCCCAAGTTCACACAGCTAGTAAGTAGGTAAACTGAGATTTAACAAGGGGTGCTATTTCTGGAGCCTGAATTCAACTATTATATTACATTTCATTTTAGTATCCTTGATTTTTTTTTGTGAAAGGAAAGCCTTGTATATCAGGCAGAGCTATTTATTATATGTGTTAATATTAAAATACAATATTTAATCTCCTTAACACTAAATTTTATATCAAAGCTATCTATAGAAGTGTATGAAGCTGCTATTATTATTCAACCATTTTTTGAACCTAAACAAAATGGATTAAAAACTAATTATATATGTGAAGTTTTAATTGCATTTACTAAGCCTGAAAAACTAATGATTTAAAATCTTTCTTCTTCGTTCCTGACATGCAACCCGTCTTTAAGAGACTCTGCTAAAATGAGACATCTTGGCAGAGAACTGGGAAGAGCACTACCAGTTTTGTAATCACATGGACCTGTATTCTACATTTTACTGGCAAAGAGTCTCTTGTAATCTTAGTATCATTTTTGGTAAAATGAAGTTGATAATTATAGGTTAGTTCTAGTCCTCTGTGAGAGAAAATGACAAGTGATTTGAGTGCCTTGCACATTACCCAGTGCATGTTGGGCTTTCAATAATAAATATTCTCATTATTCTGAAAGAAGTCCACTTAATGCTACTTAGAGTTTTGCTTCTGTCAGCTAAGACAAACATTTCTGGATATTAAAATTATAATAATTTATTTTCTTAATCTATTTTGAAGTTACAATCTTTACAGAAATTAGAATCATTGAATAAACATGATTTTTATTCAATTCAAATGAACTACCTCTCTTTAATCCATCATTTTTAATACCCTGCACTTTGCCTCTAGTGTACTTGAATGACTAAACAAGCCTGATGTACATAATTGAAATTAAAATTAAATATTAATTTATCAAAACATAATAAAATTATATTTGATTAACTTTGGTCATTACTAATTTTCATATTTATTATTGCCTTATTTTTATCCTTTAAATGTTATAAAAATTGCACATATCATAAGTATATAGCTCACTGAATTTTTACTAACTGAACTAATACTTAGATCAAGAAACAGAACATAATCATTATCCCAGAAGTCCACCTGTGTACATTTTCAATAATTCTTTCCCCTCACCAAGTGTAACCAGTATCTTGACTTAATAACTGTACAGATTAGTTTTTCCTTTTTTAATTTTGTTTTACTTTTATACAGATGGAATTATATAATACTACTCTTTTGTGTCTGGCTTCTTTCACTCAACATTATGTTTGTGAGATTCATCCATGTTGTTCCTGAGACTGTTGTACATTCATTGTCATAACTGTATAGTGTTGTACTGTGTGACTGTACCACAGTTTATCAAGTCTATGTTAATTTATCATTGTTGTTGTTGTTGTTATTTGCCATCGAGTCAGACCCAACTCATAGCGACCTCTCCTTGGGTTTCTGAGGCAGTATCACCTTGGAAGTAGATTGCCCAACCTTCCTTCCGAGAAGTGGCTGGTGGGTTTGAACCGCCAGCCTTCTGATTAGCAGTCAAGTGTCTTAGGCGATTTACCATTAGATTTTTTAAATTACACAACTACTCTGATTGATTCATGAAAATGTAGGCATCAAGAGGGTAAAACAGCTGTTCAATAATGTTAACAATATATCTAGATCCCTTTTTTAGTAGAGTTTAACAGATGTTTATTCAATGTTTACTTAGTAGAGAGCACAATGGTAGGCACTTCAGAGATTTCAAAGTTGGGACAAAACTTCAAGTAGCATGCTTGAAGCTACATTAGAAGATTCTAATGGGAGGAGACTGTAGGTAATATATGATTTAATAGTTTAAGGAGACTTTTTATAAATACCGAGGGAATGAGCCAAGACTTGTCCATGTGCAAAGGAAAAAGAAAAGGGTAAAAGAAATGGTTGATGACCCTTAAAGAACATTTTAAAATATTTTATTAAAATCATCTTGAAAGGAAAATACCATTGAAGTTTGAACACTTGAAACTGGAAGGGCAATTTAGAAAATAATACTGCTTTTTATTACATAAAACTACTAAATAAAAAAGGCCTTCAAATATGATCAGTACAATAAATCAACAATCTTCCCTTGAACATATACCATCTAATGAATAACCCACTCAGATTGTTCCAGACAAAGAATATTATATAGAAAATGTTGTTTTTCACTCAAATAAGAAAACATTACATTTTTAATAAAGCAGATCATCAAATTCCATTAAAATAAAATTATCTTTTTCAAAAGGCAGCTGAATATCTCTGAATATTATTTCCATGATTTCTCCATCATTTAATCAACTGTACAGTAGTGAAGACACATTATATAAGCATACAAGCACCTATATAATACTACTCTAACAAAAATAGTTGTTCATTCTACAAACATTTTTTGGGTATGAACTATGCAGAAGGCACTATGCTAGGAATGCAATATACAAAGATGATTGAAACTGGGCTCTTTAAGTACATTTATCTAGTGGAGGAGACAGTCAAGTAAAAGAATTTATTAAAATAGAGTATGGTATCTGCCATGTTAAAATTATGCACATGCGGCTATTGTGAGCACAGAAAACGGGCAGACTAGGAGGCAGGGAAAGAGAAAGAGAGGTTTTGTGAAGGAGGTTAGTCCTAAATGAAGTCAATGGCTTAAAGGATAAGCAGTTCTGAGCACTTTACGCAATGCAGAGAAAGTAGGTATTCCAGAAGGCATGTATAGAAGAGAGAAAGTACAGTGCAATGCAACCCAGGCTGATTGGAAGTTATGAGGCATATAGGCCTTTATGCCAACTTCTAGTCAGAGGCCTGCCCCTGTGCATCTATGCCCTCTATTGTGACTCTTTTTATATACTCTTTTTTCAAATCCTGTATAATCAAAATACAGTTGAAATTATTTTTTTGTCTCTGAGTCTTGTGCTATTCCAGCTTCCATTATCATTTCAAAGAAAAGCCCTTTTTGTTGTATCAAGTTCTGTGGTGCATCAAATTCTCTAATCCTCCCAGAGTCTAGAACAAGCACTCTGCAATAACAAGAGAAATCGGTCAGGTAGCCTATAATCAATATTCTATCACACCTTTTTTGGTCTTGCCAACATAAGTTTGAAATCACTCTATGAGTTGGTTATCTCAATACAAAATATAGTTACTATTTAACTTAGGAAATAAATCAAGTTTTCTAGTGTTATTCTTTTAGCAATAAAATTTTCCTCTAATTACTTTGGAAAATATCTTCTATGCCATCATGAAAAATGTTTTGTCTCTCAGTACAGATGAAATCCTTTATTACTAGCAAGTAGTTAGCTATGTTTCATATGCCCAGTATCTAAGTGAGAAACATTTTATTTCTGAAAAGAAATAAGGCATACCTGTCAGAATCAATGATAGAATGCAGTCTGTGAGCAATCGTCAGGATGGTACAATCAGAGAACTCCTTCCTGATAGTGGTCTGCACAAAGTTATCAGTCTCCAAATCGATGGAGGCCGTTGCCTCATCCAAGATAAGAATTTTTGTTTTTCGAAGCAAAGCACGAGCAAGACAGACAAGTTGCCGTTGTCCAACACTGGGAAAAAAGAGTAGTAAACTAATTTCAACAAGTTACTTATGGTTACACTTTCAGTATTCCAAAACTCTGACTGTATTCTTTTATATCATTCTTTTTCTAATTCACAAACATTCATTCATTCTTTCTTTCATTTATTCAATAAATATATATTGAGTGATTACTATGTGACAAGCGTTTGTGCAGGTTCCAGAAGCAGAGCAATGACAAAATAGACAAAATTTCTGTCATCATGGAGCTTATATTCTCATGGAGGAGATAGAAAAGCAAACAAGATAACTGAGTAAAATGCCCAGTAGTAAGAGTACAAGAGTATAATAGCCATATAGCATTGAGTTAATTCTGATTTATGGTGATCCCATCAGTGTCAGAGTAGAACTGTGCTCCACAGGGTTTCAATAGCTGAAAGCAAAGGCTTTATTCTGAGATGCCTCTGGGTGGGTTGGGTTCCAACTGTCAGCCTTTCAGTTAGTAGTCAGGTGCTTAACCATCTGCATCACTTAGAAACTCCTACAAGAATATAATAAGGTTTTTTTAGTATACTAAATGTATAATATACTAAAATTGTTACACACATATATATATATATGTATGTGTGTGTGTGGTCCATTTGTGAATATATATATATATATACACACACACACACCTATATATAGTAATAAGAAGAATTTAAACACCCAGGAAAGGGGGAATATAAAGTATGGATCTGGCAATTAGAATTTTAAATGGGCTTTCCAAAGAAGTCTCAATGAAAAGTTGCCTTTTGAGTGAAGAACAAAAGGAAGTGGAAAGAAGACCATTCAGATTTCCAGAGGAAGCATGTTACAGGTAAAGTGAATAACAGATGCAAACTCCCTGAGACAGACAAGAGCTGGCCTGAATACTCATGAAGCCAGTGTGGAAACAGAGACAGGAAGGGAGAAGGTAATTAGAGAAAGAGTTGGAATTATGTTGTGCAGGGTCTTAAGGGGTCTAGCTCACTTTCCTCATATCTTTTCTCACATGAAGGCCACTATCATAAGACATTAACCAGCAATGAAGAAAAAGTAGCCCCTTATATTTGTTGTAAATAACTTTAAAGGATATTATGGTAGGAAACTTTACAAGACTCAATTAGTAATTTTTCATACTGCATTGTTCTTCTTCCCACTCCTCCCCTTTCTTTCTCTACACGAGCAATTTCCCAGCCTGCAGCTACCATTTTATTCCTTGTCCTTTTCCCTACAGTGCACTTTGAACAGACCAAACAGGCTCCTTGTGGCTCACTAGCAATTTTGCCTTGAGGCCAATTCAAGTTTCAAGGAGTTTGGAATGAATAACCTCAGCAAGCTTACCTCTTTGCAGCTTACCTGAGGTTTTCACCACCCTCAGAGATCTCCTGCAGCAGCTTCTTGGGAAGGGACTGCACAAACTCTTTTAAGTGACATAATTCCAGCACTTCCCACAGCTCATCATCAGAATACTTGTCCAGAGGATCCAGGTTCATTTGAAGGGTTCCAGAAAATAAAATGGGATCCTGGAGAATAAAGTTGTCACCTGTAATCCTATTGTCACATGAGTAAGATACTTTTGGAAAAAAATCAAACTCAGAAATAAAGAAAACGCAAAACAATCAAACCTAACATGATTCTTGTATTCATTTTATATTTAAAACAAAAACAGGAAATTATCAGAATAAACTATAACTTAAGTTGTTATATTTTCTGATTTTTTTTTTTACTTTTTCCTATTATTAATAATATCAACAACAAACAAACAGTCAGGAAAAAATGGTGATGATAGCTGTCCTTTAGTTAAGGCTACCATATAATGCATTATGATATAATATATAGTTGTTGTTTGGTGCCGTCCAGGTGGTTCTGAATAATAATGACCCTATTGACAATTGTCAAAATGCTGCCCAGTCGGGCACCATTTTCACAGTCATTGCTGTTTGAGCCCATTGTTGCTGCTGCTGTGTCAATCCATCTCATTGAGGGTCTTCCTCTTTTTCACTGATGCTTTACTTTATCAAGCATGATGTCCTTCTCCAGGGACTTGTCCCTCTTGATAACATGTCCAAAATATGGGAGATGAAGTCTCACTATCTTTTCTTCTAAGGAGCATTCTGGCTGTACTTCTTTCAAGACAGATTTGTTCATCCTTCTGGCAGTCCACAGCATATTCAATATTCTTTGCCAGCACCATAATTCAAATGGATCAATTCTTCAGATTTCCTTATCCATTATCCAGCTTTCACATGCATATGAGACTGTTGAAAATACCATGGCTTAGGTCAGGGGCACCTTATTCCTCAAAGTGACATCTTTGCTTTCTAACACTTTAAAGAGGTCTTTTGCAGGAGAATTGCCTAATGAAATACATCCTTTGATGCCTTGATTGCTGCTTCCATGGATGTTGATTGTGGATCCAAGTTAGGATTTCCCTCAACAAATTCAATCTTTTCTCCCTTTATCATGATGTTGTTTATTGGTCCATTTGTGAGGATTTTTGTTTCCATTATGTTTAGGTGTAATCCATGCTGGAGACTGTAGTGTTTGATTTTCATCAGTAGGTTCTTCAAGACCTCTTCATTTTCAGAAGCAAAGTTGTGTCATATGCATGTGCTGGTTGTTAATGAGTCTCCCTCCAAACCTGATGCTACATTCTTCTTCATATAGTCCAGCTTATTGGATTATTTGCTCAGCATACAGATTAAATAAGTACTGTATCTCACATCTTTCCAGATTTTAACAACCCAGTATCACCTTATTTTGTTTGATTGACAGCCTTTTGGTCTATGTACAGGTTCTACATGAGCACAATTAAGTGTTATGGATTTCACATTCTTTGCAATGTTACCCATAATTTGTTATGGTACACATAGTCAAATGCCTTTGTATAGTCAATAAAATACAGGTAAACATCTTTCTGGTATTGGTATTCTTTGCTCTCAGTCAAGATCATCTGACATCAGCAATGATATCCCTTGTTCCATGTCTTCTTCTCAATATGGCTTGAATTTCTGGCAGTTCCTTATCCATGTACTGCTATTTTTGAATTATCTTTGGCAAATTTACTTGTGTATGGTATCAATGATATTGCTTAATAATGTCTGCACCCCACTGGATCATCATTCTTTGTAATGGTCACAAATACCAATTTCTTCCAGTCATTTGGCCATGTAGTTGTCTTCCAAATTTCTTGGTACACACAAGTGAGTGCTTGCACCATTGCATCTGTTTGTTGAAAACCTTGTTTTTCACCAGTACCTTCAATGCAGCTTAGAGATCAATACCATTGGTTCTTGATTATATGAGTGTCAAACAGTACTTTTTGGTACAGTGACTCTATGTGTTTTTTTTTTCCATTTTCCCTGGATGCTTCCTGCATTGCTCAATATTATGCCCATAGAATCCTTCAATATTGCAACTTGAGGCTTGAATTTTTTCTTCAGTTCTTTCAGCTTGAGAAATACCAAGGATACTCTTCTCTTTTGTTTTTCTAACTTTCTTTGTACATCTTCTTTGTCCTTTTTCTACTATAGTAACTTTGCTCCCTGAAACTGAACAGGTCTTGAAGCACTTACTGATGAAGATCAAACACTACAGTCTCCAAAATGGATTACACCTAAACATAGTGGAAACAAAAATCCTCACAAATGGACCAATAAACAACATCATGTTCTTTGCACATTTCATTATTATACTTTACTTTATCTTCTTGAATTATCCTTAGAAATCTTTTATTCAGATCTTTCAAGTCATCATTTTTTGTTAGCTTTAGATAATCTACTTTAAAAGAATTTGAGATTCTATTCTTATATCCATTTTGGCCTTTTCTTTTTAATGGCTTTTTGCTTTCTTCCTGTATGATGTCCTTGATGTTAT